TTCGAATAAATTAAAATAAATACCGAGGGTGCCACTTGAAAATAAAAAGCTGTATTCGTTTCCGGTGAAACAGAAAGTGACCGAAAACAATTGAATACGTCAATCCATTAATTTATGTCATATACTACACACCAAATCTCGTTTTTTTAACTGAATAAATAAAAATATATAGGGGTGCGCCACTTTTGGGACGCACCCGGTATATGCTTAAAAACTAAATAATCGTCTTTTTTTTTGGTATACTGTGGTGAAGTAGTATTTCATTTTGCAGGTTAAAAGAAATTAAAATAATTATTTTATTAAAAACATATTTTTTATAATCACCAAAATGGAATTTTCAATTTTATAAATAAAAGTGTATCACAGACGGATAAATTACGAACAAAAAAATCGTTATATTGCCGGGATAAAATACTTTTCATTTAAACAAAGTAAAAACTACATTTTTAGAATTCGTTTTTATTTTAATTTGTAAAATGCACTGCAGATTGGTTTTTCCGCAATTTAAACAACAACAAATATATATTTATAAATATACCCACGGTTAATGTAGCTATCGAACTTATTCAGTCGATTTCGAATTAAAATTCGAGACCGTCGAATAAATTTCAAATATTTTTGGATGCAAAAATGTTTTCATTGCAAAATTTGATTAATCGATTAGTGTTGTTTTCAGCATAGAAAAAATAAATGCAAAAATGCTTGGTATTGTGCTATTTGTTCATTAATTACACCAATATCTAGCTTTTATTGCATTGTTACTGTAATATAATACAGAGTGTTTCAAAAAATATGTGCTAAATCTCGTGGATTTATTTTTCATATCAACATAGGTCCGATTCTGCTTTATTTCGTAGCTACAGAATTTATTAAAATTCTTCGATTTATTATAATTTTCTTCCAAGTGATTTGAATGAAACTTTTGAGGGTAAAAGTTACTATAAGTGCTACATATTTTAATGATAAAAAAAGTGTCGATAAATTCACCAGGGATGTGCATATGGGTTATCACTGGAATATTAAAAAAAACATTTTTGATATCAAAAGAGAAAATGTCAGTGGCGCACAACTGACATTTTTTCTTTTGTAATCAAAATTGGGTAGGCCATTTAATGCCAATTAAAAGTTACCTCTTGATATTTTGTCGAATTCGGTATTAAAATAAAAATAAAATTAACAAATTATATATTTTGCCTAATTTATTATTAAATATTATTACTATTAGTCCAACCTACAGCAATTTCAAATAAAAAATAATGGTACTTAAGATAATTACAAAAAAACTAATTTTAAAAAATACAACCTAAACAACTCTAAAACTATACATTTCCATACCCATATTTTAGGAACTTTGTTTCATATTTTTTGATGAGTAATGTACGATGAATCAATGAGTACTTATTTAAAACATTCGCAAGTTAATGATATGAAAATTTTTAAAAGTTGCTATTAGACTTGGATCAAGGCAAATTAATAAAATTGTGTTTATCTAATCAAGGAAGACGAAATCGACTAAATATCAAGAGACAACTTTTAATCGGCATTATACTGCTAACACTATTACGCTAACAAGAGAAAAAAATTCAGTTGCGTACATGCTTTTTTTTAGAAATATATTCCGGTGATAACCCATATGCACGTCCTTGGTAATATGTCGCCACTTTCTTAGCTTTAAAATATGTCGCATTTATAGTAACTTTTACGCTCAAAATTTCATTCAAAACGCTAAAAGTACTTGGAAGAAAATTATAGTAAATCAAATATTGTTTTAATCGAAAATATAGTATAAATTTTTGTCTGTTTCAATAACATTCTAACTAGATACGTACAGGGTGTCCAAGATATCAGTTCAGATATTTTAACTGATTAAGATGAGTTTTTTTGCGAAAAGATAATATTGAAAATTCCACACCTGTAATTTTTAACCAATCAAAACGTGTTTTTTTGACAAATCACCATGGCAACGGATAAATTTTAGTGAAAATTTTTTCCTTGTGGGTACCCAACAGCGAATTATACTGGAAATTTTTTGACGTTTATAATGACAGAATATCTTTTTGAGAGTCAAGGTTTTATTTGTTTACATGATAATTTTGATACATTCCAATTACAAAGCTGAGATGAAAGTTTGTAAACTGCTTCCATACGCTTGACTTCAATTTCCTAGTATTCGCGGGTGTCAACTGCTTAATCTCTTGGCGAATATTTTCTTTGCTTTCATGACCGAAGCGAAATATTTTTTTAAGCCGTGCCGCTTGACAGCTTCAAAACTGAAATAGTTTTTAGGTTTGGGTGTCACTTAGTTGTCATAGTAACTAAATAATTAATTCGACCAAAAATCGAAAAATACATTTTAATTATTTGATTTTCAAACACAATTTGGTGTGGAATTTTTTTACCGAATACCACACGAGGTCAAATTAAATCCGGACATTTTTTCTCGCTCATGAATATTTTTAGAAAATTATCCCTCGTCTTCGACTCGGGATAATTTTCAAAATATTAATGAGCTCGAAAAAATTTCCGGAAATAATTTAACCTCTAGTGGTATTACTAGTGAAAATTTCACACCTCTACTTTTCAACCAATAACATGCTTTAATGTTGACTAGTTACCATGGCAACTGAAAAAATTTCCGGAAATTTTTTCGAGGCGCCACGAAACTTTAGTGGAAATTTTTTGACAGTTGAAAAGGTTGAACTTAACAAATTGAAATTATTTTAAAATGTCATGTTGGATTAATATTTTTTTCAAATTTAGGTGTGAAATTTTCTTACCGAATACCACGCAAGCTTAAATTATTCCTGGAAATTTTCTTTCGGGCACGAATATTTTAGGAAAATTATCCCTCGTCTTCGACTCGGGATAATTTTCAAAATATTCGTGCCCTCAAAAAAATTTCCGAAAATAATTTAAGCTCTTGTGATATTATAAGTGAAAGTTTTATATTTTTTTGACATTTTTCGGAAAATTTAAAAAAAACGTTTTTGTCCCCTTGTTCAGCTGACGCTTCCAATAAACTGAAAACCCCTTAATAGCTGGTTATTGCCAGCGGTTCTCAAAATGTTGCCATTATTTTTTTAAATATCTCGGTTATATTCAATTTATTTTAATAATGGTAAAGAGAGAAGATGTGTATTTTGACCAAATCTACCACCCCTTAAAATATCTGCACTTATTTCTTGGACACCCTGTATAATCAAAATATCCCTCACTAATGGTTCCTAATTATTTATGTAGATTCGATTTGAATCGTAATTTCGAATAAATTTAAATAATTCACCGAGGCAAAAATGTTTTCATTTCGAATTTGATTAATTGATTATTTTTCCCCGGGGGTGTTTTCGTTCGTTTATTATTTATAACAAAGCCTGTTATGTCGTTTCCTGTTTATCGTAATATTATTACTCTAAATAATTTAAATTAATAAATAACAAGACAATAATTACACAATTATTGTAATTTAGTTTCGAATTAATGTTGTGTTTACAGAGAGTTTTTTTTAATTTCTTGAAAAGCGTTTTTTGCTATTGGAAGAAAAGCTAAATGTTCAGTTAACATCTCCTTTTTGCTGCTAAGGCTAATCTGGAAGGTTGTGATGGTTAGATTGCTTGAAGAATTTAGTTATGTTAGTTTTAATTTTGAAAATAAAACTATTAAATAAAAAATATAATTTATTGGTATTTAACACTTTTTATTCGCCATCTTTTCTTCAGACTCAAGAATAATTTTTTATAAGTTTTATATTTTTGCCAATAATATTTAGATTTATATTGATGATACACGTTATAACCGTTAGAATTTAAATTAAAATGCATACATTTGTAAGATAATCATATTTTTCTTAAAATCTGTTTACTTTAGAAATAGTTTAGCTTAAACAATAAAAAGTAACATAATTTGAATCATTATTTAGATACCTACGCCATATGTTAAATTTCTTTATCTACGTGTATGTTTTTATCTACGTACCTATATTCCTTATTGGTGGAAAAGTTAGAAGTAAAATGTTGTTTGTCATAATACATAAATCAGTCTTACTTTATTCCCGTATGTTAGTAAAATTTAATTCCCTTTCTTTGCAGACTATATAACTCTAACTGGGATTATATTTTTAATTAATTGAAAGCAGCTTTACAAATTTCCTTTTTTTTCGGTTATATTTCTAATTAATTTTTTCTTATTTTTGTAAAAGTGTTTATTTGTAACTATTTAATATACGGAACATGTATTTATTATCAATCAAAAATGCTTATTACAGCGACCGAACAAAGCGCGACGCTACGTACCAGTTCCAGTTCCACTAATTATTGTTCGCGACCGACGAAACCTCCCCCTTACGAGCGCCACAGCAGTCGCGCGACCACTGGCACCGGAGCGAACTACGTCGCGGAATATGTCGTCACCAGTTACATCTTTTCGCGACAGATGAAACGGTCGCGATCGCGCGACGCTAGGTACTTACCAATTCCAGTTACTACTGTTCGCGACCGACGAAATCGCGACCCTAGGAGCGCGACGGCTGGAGCGAAACACTGGGCTATGCGGTTACTGCGGTTTGAGCTAACTACTAGACCGATTACAAATAATTTATTTGCAAATTATAAATAATTTGTAGGTTTGTCGTTATTACGATCGTCGTTCTTCAGTAACGGTTCCTGATTCGTTGTGGAACGCGACACGACATTACAAAAAAATACCGCTCCAAAATCGCGTTACTTAAATACGACAAATCACTACTAGGTACTGGATAATACTACATCTTCGATAACGTTTCAATAATTGTAAATTGTTTTTCACTTTATTTTTTAACTGTTTTTTTTAACTTCTTCTTCCAGATCATAGTCGTCTTAAAGTGAAATCTACAATTTAAAAGGTCAAATTATTTATTTTTACTGTGTTTTAATTATTTCGAACGACTTCCGTATTTTCTCCACGATTTTCCGCATTATCTATTTGAGTCTTCGAGGAAATTTTTTTATTGACCCAATTTCTTTCAGTTTCAGCGACACGTGCCATGAATACGCTGTGAATCGATCAAAGACGCCAAAATGCAACGTGGTAGCTGTGCAATTTTAGCCCTGTTGACTGCAGCTTTAGTTGCATCTATTGGGTTAGCAAGGGCAGACGAATGTATAACGTAAGTAGTTATTTTACTAAGTTATATATATATATATATATATTTTTGAAGAGGAATATTGAGGAAGAATTAAGCATAATGCTCTATCTATATATAGATCATAACAAATAAACTTTTAAGCTTCATTCAGAACCTCGCAATTAGTGGAATAATTTAATGGTTTCAATTACGTATAAATATAAGTAATAATAATAATTAGTGGAAAAGTGAAAAGTTTGATAAATTTTTCTGCTAACTGAAAATGTCTACCACTAATTTTGACGTTCTGAATGGTTACATTGAAATTAAAGGAACAAACTTCTACGCTAATTGAAACCGCTAATTTATTCAACTAATTGCGAGAATTCAACTAATACTTTCTATTGCCTCCCCTGGCTGCTATAACTGCCTGTATATGTTTGTTCATGCTGTCATTGAGGCTGCATAATATATCATATTGCGTTATGTTTTCCCATTCTTCTGTAAGGACCAAGCGAATTTCATTTAATTAAGCTGGTACCGCTTCGCGACCTCTAACCCTCCTACCAAGCATTTCCCAAACGTCGAACATGATGGGTAGTTCGTAGTAGTATATAGTTCACAATAATCACCAAAGCTGCATTGTCATAGTGAAAAAAAACTTCAAAAACAAATTATAATTGAAAAAATTGAAAATTCTTGGTTGCAAGTTCATTTCGCTCTTAAAAATTAACCAAGGCATGTATTGACATGATCCAAAAAACAAAATCCTCAGGAGGCATGGTTCTGACCCTAAAATTATATTTCAAGAAAATTTACACACAAAATTATTGCACAGGGTGTGTCAAAGTTAGGGTAAAGAACAATCTCTCGATTAACTCTGTATAATATGCCAAATACTAAAGTTTATAAAAAAAAAACTGAGTTTACAAATATAATTATATACAGCTTGCTAAAAAATTCATGAAAATAGGGCTAAAAATAACTATAAAAAAAAATTTAAAGGAAAACACCTAAAAGGTTTAGCTGATACCATGCTAATACTAAGAAAATGTTAATAGACATATAGAGACATATTTTTTTACACACTCGGTATGTTTTACTTATATATACTGTGGTAATTTATCAAACCGTGTCTTCTTAACGGATCCTGACCGCATTATATATTAAAATTAAATTTTTTATTCGGTTGTCACCACTAGGATATTAATGGTTGACTCAAAGGCGTATAATAATTGAAGTTTTTGTCTTGCCCTTTATCTCTGTCTCTCAAAATCACCCCTAGAAAATGACATTTTGACATATTGTTTCTAAAGGATAATGAGTCTCCAACAAATATGCGTTCAGTCAGTGTTTTTTGTGCTATAATTTCTGATGGATTTAAAAACTTTTTAACTCTTTCTATTTTCTAAGCAGAAATAAAATTAATAGCAAACATAACGAGACAATTTAAAAATTATCATAGACAACATTTCTTCTCTTAATATCATTTCCTTTTTTCTGGAGCTAAAATTACTTCATCCCTAATGCAAAATCCCTAATTTGATATCCCACAGGACTTGAGGGAGAGTGCTAGCTTTCTTCTCTGTATATTAATTGGATATTAACGTGTAATGTTTCGGGATAGAGACGCCATTCCTTAGGGAACCCTTACAACGTTCACAGGAGAAATTATCTCGTTTTTTTAGGGGAAGGTCAGGATAGGATGAATTTGTCGACTTTTGGGGCGGTTTTTATAAGTTTTTCCAGGGTTGGAATTTGAAGGGGATGATGCTTTTAAGGGATGGAGAAAATTGAATGGTTTTCCGGAGGATTTGGGTGGGTTTATGAGTATAATCCCCAATTTCAGGTATGTTTTATAAGTATACTAGATAGATTTATTTGTTGTTAATTAAAAAAAACATATCCTTTCTAGTTCAGTCATTGGGGATTTTTGCTTGGAAAAAAGTCTGAAAGTTTTCCAACTTTGCAGGTTTATAGGTTTTGGGGTCCCTAACTGAAATCCATAAAATGTACATTTCCAGACCTGCCGCCGGCGCCGGCGCCGCCGCTGCCGTCTTGCCAATATGGCGCCCAAAATCGGTATTTTGTGAATATCTCAAAAACTATGCGTTTTTCGCAAAAATTTAAGGAGAGCAAAATTAAAGAAAATAAAATTTTCTATAAAAAAGGTTTCATGAAAATTTTCGCTAAAGTCAACCGTTTAGGCACAAAATCCCTGGAAATTTTACAATTTTGCGTAAAATATGATATATTATGTATAGTCGATTTTCCGAAATCAGATGTCGATTAGGGTTCATTAAAACTAGTTTTAGTTTAATTTCTTCAATTTTGTCATAAAACAGTGGCGTATCATAAATTTGCTCATTAATTTATGAATAATTAATTTTAATTATTGAAAATGTGTACTTGTTTTCACACCACCCAAGAGGTAAAGTATATGCGCCATATATGGCGCGTTTATTTTAACGTGGTCTCCCCGGAGGCCTACTCCACTAGATAAATTAAAAACTTTAACTTATCTGCACAAGCCCGACGGATCTGGCTCATTGATGTCAAAGTCGATCGTGTCTGCTGTGCTGGGCTCATCAGGGTGGTCTCTCAATACGTCCAACTCTTCATCTTCAGCCGCCAGAGGGATATCTACAGGCAAGTCCAACTCCTCTTCATCGGATTCGTGACACTTCAGTGACGTTGTCACAGGATTTTCCATTGCAGTATGCACAAATCATTGAACATTTTAATCCTGCTTTTCTGTATCCGCAGGCTTTACCATAGTTGTTGGTTTTGCATTTACAATGTACAGGATAAAAATCCCAACAGGGATTTTGGAGCTGGATCTTTCAACGTTGTGACTGGAGTAATGCCTGTTTTTGTTTTCTTCCAACCCCATTCTTCGACATCTTTGGTACAACCAGACCAATGCTCAACCTGGTGGTAAGTTCGCAATGAATGCTGTATTGACAGCACGACAATTAATTATTCATAAATTAATGAGTGAATTAATGATACGCCACTGTTTCATGACAAAATTGAAGAAACTAAACTAAAACTAGTTTTAGTGAACACTAATCGACATTTGATTTCGGAAAATCGACTATACGTAATATATCATATTTTACGCAAAATTGTAAAATTTCCAGGGATTTTGTGTCTAAACGGTTGACTTTAGCGAAAATTTTCATAAAACCTTTTTTATAGGAAATTATTCTCTTTAATTTTGCTCTCCTCAAATTTTCGCGAAAAACGGATAGTTTCCGAGATATTCACAAAATACCGATTTTGGGCGCCATCTTGGCAAGATGGCGGTGCCGGCGGCAAGTCTGGAAATGTGCATTTTATGGATTTTAGTTAGGGACCTCAAAACCTATAAACCTGCAAAGTTTCAAAATTTCCGGAGTTTTTTCCAAGCAGGCCCCTTTTTTGATCCCCAATGACTGAACTATTCCATTAGTACAAAAAAATGTCAATTATAGATGTAGATGCAGATTGTATGGCACTCAGTGATGAGGTGTCCTAGTATTTCCCCATTTTCCCCATAGAACCTGCATTGACCGTTGTTTCTTACCTTCAATCTACTTAGGTGTTCATTGAGGAGACAGTGTCCTGTTAGAAAACTCAATGACAATACGAAGACTGATTTTACTTAAATCTTGGAAAATCTTTGTTTTTCCTCGGTCGCAAGTCCTGAAACCTCTTGTATGGATGTGAAACATTGAAAGTGACCAAAACCCTAACAGCAAAGCTACAAATACTTGTTAATAGCTGCCTGCGACGAATTCTTTGCATATTTTGGCCGAACACTAACCGAAACGAAGATCTATTGCATTTAACTGGCTAAACTGAGATAGGCAATAGAATAGAAGTGATCATACGAAAGTGGGGATGGATAGGGCATACTCTAAGACAACCTAACGACAATATCGCAAGAAATGCCCTTGACTGGAACCCACAGGGACAACGGAAAAGAGGACACCTAAAACAAACATGGCGCAGAACCGTAATGGAAGAGCTAGTCAAGTCAAAAACATCATGACCAGAAGCTAAGAAAACTGCTGAAAACAGAACAAGATGGAAGGTTTTCAGTGAAGCCCTATGCTCCACTTATGAACTAAAGGAAACAATGATGATGATGAAGTTCTGAGAAATTTCTTCGGGTCCCTTAAACCGTTGGAGGTTTTCCGTTCCATTTTACGAATATAGTATTCCAGGTTCTTGATTTCTTCTTTAAGTTGATTTCCACTGGGGAAACAGGGTCCAGTTAGAAGAATGTTTGCTCCTTTTCTAGCTAGATTGTTTGATTTTTCATTGCCTTTTATCTCTTGGTAAGCTGGCATCCAAATTAAGAGGACTTTATTTTCTTTGCCTTATTTGTTCAGCTTCTCTAGGCGTTTCTTGACTAACTTCGAATAAATGGTTACTGAGGTTATTGAGTTGAGCGCTCTTAAGGCTCTTAAAGCTCTGGACTATCGAATAAGATGACTATTTCTTGTTTCCGATAATTCCTATCTAAAATAAGGTGTACGCACCTCTCAATAGCGTAGATTTCTGCCTGAAGGATGCTGGAGTAGGTGCCCATTGCGTCGAAGTATTTAGCTTTCGGCCCAAGTACTCCTATCTTTCTTCCTGCTTTGGTTTTGGAAGCATCGTTATGATATGGTCTTTTAGTAGTAATACTAAAAGGGAGAGATCCACCTCAAATTCGTGCATGTATTGCAAGGAAGTTGATAGTGTCGAACATACACTATTCTTCTGCAATGAATGGAAGCAGTTTAGAGAGTCATTCCAACAAGACAGTGGGCCAAGTCTTTGATACTAAAAATATGATGCTGTTAAGAGGTGAAACATCATGGAAAATTATATATAGATTAGAGGTGTGTAGTTCGTGAACGAACTAGTTTCAATGAACTATTCCGATTCCGGAATGAAAGAAACTAGTTCCAGGTTTCTCAAAGGACTAGTTCCTCAGGATCTATTCGAGACTATGACCAATATATAATACTATGCGACGGCGACGGATCGGCCAGCGCGATCCGTCTACT